CCCCATTTGAAGTCTTGTATGGAAAAATGCCAAGCTTTGGGCACATATTTGGGGATGCAAGGTAGAGGCTAGGTTCTATAATCCAGAAGAAAGAAAGTTGGACCCGAGGACTGAATCATGTTATTTCATTGGTTATTCTGAGAAATCTAAAGGGTTCAAGTTCTATTATGCACAGGCTTATACTAGAATCAAAGAAACTCACAATGCTAGATTTTTCGAGGACCAAGATGTTTCACACTTTACTATTGAGAACTTCGTTTTTGAAGAAATTGAATAGCAACAACCTGAAAAACTTTCCATTGATCATTGTATAGTTTTGGTGTTTCCTCAATCAAGGGTTCAAGACATTGAGCATGATTGTTCTGAAGAACTTGTTTAGTTAGAAGAGTCTTAGGAGCTACTGAAATAAGGGTTACTGAAATGGAAACTGAACCAAGTCAATATATCATAGATCAAATAGCAAGTGTGCAAATATAACCTGAGATTAGGAAATCCACATGAACAAGAAAACTTGTGATTTTAAAAGATTTTATGTGTTATCATCAAGAAACTGATTACAATATTGGAGACATTGATGATCCAGTGACTTATGCACAAGCTATGAACAGCTCATAGTCAACCTTATGGCAAAATGCAATGAAAAAAGGACTGGAGTCCATGTTTAAGAACAAATTCTGATCATTGGTAGAACCGAAGTCTAAACTCAAGCCTATAGGATGCAAATGGGTGTTTAAGACAAAGAGTGATGCAAATGGTTAGATTGAGAGGTATAAAGCTCAACTTGTGGCAAAAGGATTCACTAAAAGAGAAGGTATTGACTATAATGATACATTTTCACCCGTATCTTCTAAAGATTCAATGAGAATAATCATGGCAATAACTGAACACTATGATCTCGAATTACATCAAATGGATGTAAAAACTGCATTCTTGAATGGTGATCTTCAAGAAGACATATGTATGGCACAATCTCTTGGATTTATTGAAAGGGGGAAGGAGAACATGGTATGTAAATTGAACAAGTCAATCTATGGTCTAAAAAATGCTTCTAGACAGTGGTATTTAAAATTTGATCAAGTTGTCACATCAAATGGTTTTATTGAAAACAAGTTAGATGATTGCATCTATCTTAAATTCAATGGAGCAAAATTTATTATACTTGTGTTGTAAGTTGATGATATTCTGCTTGCTAGCTTTTGCACACAATTACTAAAAGAGACCAAGTCTGTGCTCAATTCGAAATGAAGGATCTTGGTGAAGCACATTTTGTTCTAAGGATTGAGATTGCAAGAGACAGAAATAAAAAGTTGTTCGGATTGTCACAAAAGAATTATATTGAAAGAATTCTAGCCAGGTTCAATATGGAGAATTGCAATGGATGTCATGCACCATAGAACAAGGGAGATCGGTTGTCAAAAGACCAATGTCCTAAGATTGAATTTGAAGTCAAGAAAATGGCAGAAAAACCATATGCATCTTTGGTTGGAAGCTTGATGTATGCAAATATTTGCACGAGGCCTGATATTGCTTACATTGTAGGGTTATTAGGCAGGTTTCAATCCAATCTAGGAAAAGCTCACTAGAATGCAGCCAAAAAGGTTTTGAGGTATCTTTGACAAACTAAAGGTCATATACTTATGTATGGCAAAAAAGACAATCTTGAGGTTGTAGGGTACACAGATTCCGATCTAGCAGGTGATTTAGATGACACAAAATCTACTGGTGGTTATGTTTTTCTTTTTGGTGGGGGTGCAGTGTCCTGGAAAAGTGCCAAGCAGACAGTCATTGCAACTTTTACTATGGAAGCCGAATTCGTAGTTTGTTTTGAAGGAATGAAACAAGCAGTTTGGTTGAGAAATTTTGTGGCAGAACTTAAAATTGTAAGATCAATACAGAAACCTTTAAAGATGTATTGTGACAACAACTCTGCAGTTTTCTTTGCAAAGAACAATAAAAGAACATCTGCTTCGAGACTCATGGATGTTAAGTTCTCAAAGGTGAGAGAAAAAGTCAAACAGGGAGCTATTGATGTGCAGCATATAAGTACAAGCTTGATGGTTGCTAATCCCTTGACTAAAGTCTTGCTAGTTGGTGTTTATAAGATGCAAATCTCTCGGATGGGTTTACTTGAGTCTTTTGATCAATGGGAGTAGTTTGTTGTTCTGTTTTAGAAAGAGGAATTGTTGTTTTGAAGACAGTTGCAATAATAAAATTTGAGGAGTGCTGCTATTGTGAAGTTCGAAGCGCTGGTGTAGCAGTAATGTTCTTCTCTAAAGATAAGTTTATGTTTAGCTAGTATAATTATCAGTTAGTTAGCTAGTTCTATTGCAATTAGAGATTCAATTTTTTGTAATTGATTGGTCTGATATATATATATATATATATATATATGTGGTTTTTGAATTCAGTTCGATGCTTTGAGGATCTTTGTGATTTGACTCGAGCAGTTGTTTGAATTCATGCATATTGATTTGGAATGGATTACAAGTTTACAGTTTTGCTATCTATGTTAGGCTTAATTGTTTCAAATTAAGTTATGAAATAGTGGGACTGGATATTTGGATCCACTTATATCAGTTTGATCATAATGTTATAAGTACAAATTGAACATAAGTAATCTGAGAACGTTAGTTACATGTTGGTTGTGATTATAAGCTTTTGGATTTAGTGTTTTGAAATGTACGGATAGATTGTTTATGATGTTACTCAAAAGGCTTGGTGATCACCTTATTGGAATCTTGATTGAACTAAGTTTATTTGGTTCATACTGGCTCAAGTGGAAGAATGTAAGAATATGAGCGTAAGTATGAATCTGTGATCTTGGTTATTTGAGATTAAATAAGAAGTCTTATTGGGAATGGATTTGTAATCCATATTATACTGAACTACTATTTGTCAGGGATTAGTTTTCTATAAGAATTCTAATAGGGGAATCCTTATAGAACTTGGCAAAGATTATGTTATCTATATATATAGTGGCCTCTGCTCTCGCAGTGTATATGCTCTTTTTCTGGACTAAGACCTATTATTAGTTAAGAGCAAAACTGATTACTGAAGAGAGGAGAAGGTGCACTGTTGTTGTATTGCAGAACTTGGACATGGCAACTCCTTCTAGTTCATTTGTAGGTATGGTTCTTTTCTTTACATTGTGTTGGTAAATTATGGTTGTGTTTTGATTGCAGTAATTCATATTACTTGTTCTTGGTTTTATGTTTATTCTAACAAGAACGTCTTACAATGCACCCAACATGTTGTATTTGGATCCACGTCCATAACTTGTTTCATAAAAATAAAATCTACATAGAATTAAAAAAAAAAAAAATTAGGAAGGGAAAGAGAGGTGGAATGCACATGTTCCCTTAATCCATCAGAACGTTAGGAGAGGGGGATCATTCCCAATCAATGGAGATCCCACGATTGTCACAAATGAAATGAGGGTGATAATAACTTGTTTGGAATTGGACAGCATGCATGCACGTTTTTTTAAATACAAATTTTATATATACATATACATACATATACATACATATACAGACATATACATATACATACATATACATACATATACATATACATATACATATACATATACATATACATACACATACACATACATATACATATATATATATACATATACATATACATACACATACACATACATATACATATACATATATGTGTGTGTGTGTGTGTGTACAGAGTGTTTCCAGATTGCAGCCTTGTGCGCTCTGAACGATTGTGTTGCAACAAAACAAACAGAAATATTCTCCCGGCCACCAAGTGAAACACTAAAAGCACATCCACGCATCATCCATTGTTGATATCCAATTCAATCTTGTCACCAGATGACCATGAGAATGAGACTCAACACAAAATTTGTACCGTTCATTGAGCTGTCCAAATCTTTACCTTTAAACAGGAAACTATCACATGCTTTGCAAGTTATTTAAGGAAATAATATTTCACAAGGTCCCCTCCAAAGAAGTAACTAGTAACGAATCACATGCTTATATTCATGGACCACTTGCATTCCCATCATATTAACCCGAGATTACTCCTAATACCATGACTTTAGTTGAACGTTAGTAAAAAGTTGCAACAACGACAACAACAAAGTTTAATCCCACTAAGTGGAGTCGGCTATATGAATCTTAGAACGCCACTGTACTCGGTTTTGTGCACGTTAGTAAAAAGTTTGAAAGGTAAAAAAATGAAAAAGGTTCTAAAACACTTTACAAGTCTAAACCCGCGTGAAGATTGGTGACATAACTTGAGCTTGAAAAGGGTTTTGATTTATTCTGGATCACGGGCCCTTCCTTCTTCAATGCTTCCGTTGTGGCCAGAGGCCAGGGAGAGAGCTCTTTATTGCACTTTTTAGGGGGAAAGGAAACTCATCATTTCCTTAAATTTCGCACGCTTTTGGAAGCACTTTTTCCATGAGTGATGGCTTTTTTTATTGCTGCTGCTGCTGCTGCTTTTCAAATGTGCTTATCTCAAAGCGCCACCAACTTGTATATAAATTATATCCCTAAAGCCACTTCTCTAAGACTTACGACTATACCTCTGCATAAATATGTTACGACCATGACATGATTACATGTGTGCGTGCGTGTGAGAGTGTGTGTGTTTAGTGGTGGTGGCGAGGGATTGCTTAATCCGGTTTCGACTTTGAACTGGAGTTTCGAGCGGCATATGTTCGAAGAACCCTTGTAAGAGTTGAAAATCCAAGGTTATAGAGACTTTTCTTAATGGGAAATGATTTTCACAGCCCTATTTTCTCTCCTCACACACCCTTCCCTATTTTATGGCCGTCAGATTGAATAAAGTAAAGGAGAATCAAAGAATGGAAATTAATAGGGGTGCGGAAATCATTTTCGTTCTTAAATCAAGGAGGCAACGAGGAAAGAAGGGAAAAGTGCCACTCACTAGCTATCCTGAACAACAAACAATATAAGAATCCAAAGATCTATCTAAAATTTGTTTGCTAAGACAAGAAATTGAGAACACTGACTTGATTAAATTACTAAAAGTACAAATTTACAGTCTATTATGTGTTGGTAAAAAAGATGCAGATAAGAGAAATGTGAGAAATTATTGACGAGGCTCCTCATTCTTCTAAAGGCAGGCAGGCCATTTGGGTCAGTTTAGATGCAATAGACTCTACACTGCCCCAAACGACGCAGTTTTATAGTATCGGCCTGAATTTGAGATCCATGAATTGAGGAGCCAATTACACTTTACATGACCGAGCAGGAAAATTAGAACTTACTCATGAGAATGAGCCAGCATGTCCTCGTGTTGGGGATCCTGATGATGATGCATTCAAATTAATCCCAGGAGAAGTGGATTGATTTAACCGCCAGACAGTAGAAAGAATATCTATTTACAAACAATGCTTCAACACACCAAACAAACCGGCTTTTGACACGATAACCACACATCCTACATACACGGCACAGCATGACTAGTTTCTACAAGCTTAACCCAGTGTGGCAGAAACACAGTTGCAACTAGTTCCTTTGCAGATACATCAGAAAATTAGTGGCCTGCACTGTGCTGAATCAACATCGGAAGGACAGTATGGACACTTGAAAGCTTTTGTCCCATTCTTTGACATCTTCGTAATAGACTGCTTGCAGAGCACATGTCCACATGACATCAACATAGGCGGATTTTCTTCAGTTGACTGTTCCTTCGACACAGGACACACAAAAATAGAATGGAATTGAAACTCATGGTTTAACTCCACTGGCACAGGTAACTGCTTCATAGACTGAAATTCCTGCCTTTTTCCTGCCATTACATTCATAAACTTGAGAAGAGGTGGCAAGCCCTGAATCCCTGCAGCCATGGTCACACTCAATGGGCTCTTGTAAGACTGGCCCAGAATATTGCAGAACTGCCTGGTTAGCTCCCCGGAAACTTTGTCCCAAATGGCTGGTGATAATAAGTGAGAGTATGGGGAGTACTCAAGTCTTCCAGTCCACAGAAGACTCCCCATGAGCCTTTGTATTTCAGCCATATAGTTGGAAGCAAAAGGAGCAAGACAAGTTTTTGAATACTGGAGAGCTCTGTCTCTGTTTCCCTTTTGCACTATTTCGACAAATTGCAAACTGTGAAGTTTCAGTAATATGTCTGAACCATTTGGTTTTAGTTTATCAGAGTTAATCACGACCCAGTTCAGTGCTGGCTCTAGATTCCGATCTTTCATTGCCTCAACTATCCGAAACAATTCCTGAAACTGAGATTTCATAGCAGCCACAGATTCTGATTCCTCAGTCTCACTTATAAAACAGTCACCAACTTCGAATAGGCCCTGCCGATAGAAATGGCTGCCAATAATCTCATTAATTGTGTGGGTATCAAAGTCAATGTTTCTATAAGCCTTGGATATATCAGGAATGAAGGATTTCTCCAGAATCTTTGGATACTTGCCAAGTGCTAGGTTCAGTTCCTTCTGCATGCTTTCCAACTGACTGAGTGGAGCTATATCTTTTAACTTGACTTTAAGTTCAGCAAGAGAAGACTTACAATCAACCTGAGATTCACAACCATTGGATGATTGTAGCTTTTGTAATGTCTGCTTCATTTCTTTGTCGATCAGATCGAACACTTCTTGAGCTTTAGAGCTTGACAGCTTTTGTTTCTTTGTCACATGATCAAATCCATCTTTAATAGTGGTCAGCTCCATTTTTAATTATACGACTGTATAATTATAGCTTGTGATGAGAAACAAAGACGAAAGGATCTACAAAAAAAAAAAAAACAAAGTGGAAAGAACTCTAATAAGCTTAAAGTATTATAGTATAGCATACAACTGTAACTGATGAAAATGCACACGAGAAAATCAAAGGATCAATTGGAAACTGCCAAATATGTTCCCATACACAAACATTAACAAACAACAGAAACAAGGTTAGTTTAACTTTATGCTTCGCATGAAATAGTTTCTTGACATGAATAGAGAAATACCCAAAAAAAGATAGGGCTTTTCACATTTAAGCCCTTGATAACAACACACTTTAGGAAAAAACAGTTCAAACTCAATACTTTATAGAAAAAATCAACTTACTTGGTAACACCAAAAGAATTTCACAACTAAGAATCAATTGGAACATGACAAGCGAATAGAAGAGAGTTTGTCGTTCTTTCTCCAATTGAGCTCTTCAAGCGTTTTTCTTATAACAAAAAAAAAAAAAAAGTTGTCGTGGTGTTTTTTTTTCTAATTTAAAAAGAATGATATGGAAGTACAAAGGCTGTGAAAGGTCATATTAATAAAGCAACCGAAAAATTCTTATAAGAAAAAGCTTCAGCAAACACAGCCACTCAGGTCTAACAAATTTATCAAAAGGTAGAAGTGTCTCTTGACTCATTGAAATGATACTGGAAATTGAATTTCTCATATGTTTTGAATATCAGATGTTTTATATGTGGTTCAAAGTCGTGCTATGTTTTTTTCCCTCCCAACGGGGGTTGTATATCAGTTCAGAGCTAGTTAGGCAGTGGACGCACGCCGCAGAGGTTATGACATAAGTCATCTTACAAACTAGAACAAACAAAGCTTGACAGTGAATTTCCAACTTTTTTCCACAATTGTCTGTTGCCCAAAAAACACACAGCCACCTTAATATGAAAACATTTGGACATGTGTACAAAAAGTGAAAGAACCATAAGAGTTGTGCCAAAAAAATAATGAGAGAGAGAATTCCCTACACTAATCACCTTTCATGTTGGCAGGGTAAAAATGGGAGACATCAAAAGGGTGAAAAACCGAAGGCCCTAGATTCCAAACCAGTTCAAGGGTCAACCATTTTTGTTTATGACTTTTATTTTTTATGCCGCGATACTTTAAACTACCCTAATCTACACGGAGAGTTATTCGAACTCGGGTGCAATGGACCGGGCACTATCCTAGACAACTACCCTAGCCCGCATCCGAAATCAGCAACATGGTATGAAAAGGAAAAGCCTTGACATATAAAAAGTATCTAAACTTGACATGTTGGGTCAATTTTTTTAGGGTAATTGACATAATACTAGGTATAAATTACGAGAATTGAACACCAACAGTGCTGTATAGAGAATTCGAATACAAGGATGAAGCTTTTTTTTTTTTTATTCCTTTTTATTTGAGAATCAAGTAATCTGTTATTCTTTTGTTTGAGATTTTCAAGCGATGCATATAAATTAAATTGATCAACGCAAACTAAAGCTCCAGTGAACAATCACATATGGTATTACATTAAATCTTTCATCTTTTTCAACTTTGCACAATTGAAATTTCATAGTTCTGTGCCCCGTGTGTGTACGAGAGAGAGAGAGAGAGAGAGAGAGAGTACCGCGAGATGAATACGAAGTTGGAAGAGTGGCGAAGGGCTTCGGGACGTCAGCCGGAAAGAGGGCGAAAGAGAGTTGCAGATGAGCGACAGAGATGGAGAATTTGTGTGATTTAGGTTTTGTCAGTTAAAATTGTTCGGGGTCGATTTTGTAAGAACAAGGATTATAAAGGGTAAAACGGTACAAAAACTCTAGTTTATAAAAGTTGATTATAAAATGAATAATTTGAGTAAATAATTATAAAAAATCAAAATGATCTGAATTTTTGTGAGAATAAGTTCGAAACTCTCAAAATAAGTTTGGAGTAAAAATTTCAAAATGATTCAAAATTCTTTTAATTTTCATTCTTAAGTTTTTAGAAAATATTCAAATTTGGGATTTCGGGTTTGTATTCAAAAAATTTACTTTGACAATCGAAAACGCCATTCCAATTTGCACCCTTTATTTAGGTAAGCTTTTTTACTAGAACGCATTAGAAACACATTGTTCCAATTTCAATTTAAAAAAGTCTCAGAAATGAATATTAATTCCAATTTTTTAATCTAATTTAGCACCTGCAACTAGGGGTTACAATTTTTGGTGATTATTTTATTAGAGAGAGAAAGAGTTGTCAGCCAAAGGAGGCCGGAGGTAAAACTAACGATTGAGAGTTGCACGCGAAGCCATTTCGACAAGGTATTTAATCTAATTTCACACTTGATTTTTATGTATGAGAAAGTAGACAAACTAGACCATCCTCAACTCTTCTAAGTTAAATTTTTAGCCTAATATTATTAAAAAATAAATTTATGATAATTTTTTTCTTAAAGTAACTTTAAAAAAAAAAGAATTATGTAGACTGTTATAATTTAATTTTATTGCATTTTAACTTCAAAATATTTAGATTCCGATAAATATTAAAAACTCACTAAACTGATGCCATGAAACTCGTGGAACACTATGAAAAAATATGAAATACATGAAATAATTTTTATTAATTACTTTAACAATGAGATTTAAATTTGGATCGTTAGATCCTTTTTTTTTTTACTGTTAAATTTGATCATATTAGATCTTAGCTATTGAATTCAATGAACTTATAAATATTATTGATGCACAAAATCAGTGAGACTTTGGAACAATGTAAAGTGTCAAATTTGTGACATCACTCGGTTGCTCTAGTCACCTAGTGAGTATAATATGTAAAGAGATAGAGATAGGGAAGCAAACACAAGATATACGTTGTTCACCCTAAGTTTGACTACGTCCATAGAGTCGAGGAGTTCTCATTAATAGTGAAAGGTTTACACAATACATATGTTCAAGCATGATCATCAGTAATGAGTTCTAATGATTAGTTTAAGTACAATAATGACATTAGAAATTAATTGTAAGAAGATGGTCTTCTTTTATAGTTGAGCAGAGTCTCTAGCTTTCGTCTGCGGTCGATGTGGGACTCTATGAGCTTTATTCTGATGTTAACATGTGTCGTGCTATAACTGGCCACCTGATTAGAGGGAAACTCTTGGCGCTTCGGCAGGGGGTGCCTCAGCATGAATCTCTCAGTGGGTCCTTGAATGTATGAAATTGACCGGTGCTTGGTAGTTTCGGAATTGGTCAAGTATGGTACAAATAGTGTTCCCCTAAGTTCTTGAGTGAAGAAAACTTCTCAGTTGGGGACTTAAAAAAAATTCAAGTCACTGTGTAATCATGAAACTTTTGAGTACCGAAGTGTAGTAGCTTATAAAAGGAATCTCCTAAGTCTCTAAACGAGGAAGGTTGCCGTAAGAGGCGCCTCTAAAGTTCCTGGGTCATTGAGAAAGGAAAGGCTTCAAAAAATTTTTCCCGTTTCCTTATACACACACAAACATTTATATATATATATATATATATATGATAAATGTGAAGCCCAAGAAAGAGAGACCCAACGGGTTGTAAGTGTCCCTCATTTCCTTTGGTCAAATGCCCCTCTTAATTGGGCTCCTTATTTTTTTTATATATATTTTTTTGTCATGGGTTGTCACCCTATATTTTGAGGCCTAGGTAAGAGTAGCCCAGCCTTTGTTTGAAATCGGCTTGAGGCCTAGCCTTTGTTTAAAACCCTAACCTTCCATCCTTCCCTATCCTTTCTAGAAAACAAGCTCAAGGCCGTCCCTTCTAAACACGCCGTCCCCTACCCTTTTGTCTTCACATATCGTAACCAGGCCGTCCTGTTCAGTTCAAGATACCTAGAATTTGTGTTTTCCAAGTCATTGTTCGCACAGATCCTCAGGTGGGATTTGGAGTGGAGATCCTGAGTTCGTAAGGGCTGAGCTCGCGGTGGTCACAGCTTCTCGTGCCTTCATTCTCCTGCCCCTCCTTCGTTTAAAACCCTTGTTGTTGCAGCCGCTGCAGCCTCAAGCCGCAGAGACTACCGAGAGAGAAAATGCTGCTGGGGACAAACTCAAACTGTCACCTGCTGCCAATTTGGAGGTGGTGTTGAGGTTCGAATGAGGAGTGGTTGCTGCAGAAAGTCGTCCTCATTTTAGCTAGCCATGACGGTGGTGATCCCTAAGTCTGATAGGTTGAGGGTAGGTCGGGGAAGAAGATCCCGCGTTTGAGAGATTGAGGTGAGATCGAGGAAGAAAATGTGGGTGGCTGGGTAATGATAATTTTGTTTTTGGGTTTGGGGCTGTTCAATTGCAGTCGGTGAAGGTGAGGTGAAGGTCTTCCCGAGGAGATTTGAAGGTGGGTGAAGTCTGAAGCTGCAAAAACAGCGGGGAAACTTTCTGGTTGTTGAATGGATTAGAAATAGACAAATTGCTTAATTGTGCTTCAGAGGTCCAACACTCCTCCTTTTATTTGGGTGTCAAAATACTTGGAATTTGATTGTTTAATTGTTCATTTGTTTATAATATACCTGAATTGTATATGAAATAGGCACCAATGTGAATTTACTATGTGAAAGAGGTTTACGTTAATGTTTGTTTGTTGAATGGAGAAGAAAAGGACGGATTGAAAAGTTTCTTGGGCTTTGTGAATTTTCTGAATTTTGTGGCTAAAATTTGCGTCTGAAGAATAATTTAGTAGTAGAAAATTTATGTTTGTGGTTTAATGGGTGGAGGTATGTTGATTGTAAATTTTGGTTGTAGGTTTTTTGTTTGGTCACATAGCTTGAATAGTTGAAGCTATTTCTAGGACATCATAAATTGATTTTGCTTCACACTATCTTGATCAAGAGTGTGAAGCTTTTACATGTTTTAGTGTTTAAGTTTTTTTTTTTATTAAAGCTTTATAGGGGAAGCTTTGTGGGTGAAGTTTTTAGATTGAAGTTTTGTGGGTGAAGTTTTTAGGTTGAAGCTTTGTAGGTGAAGCTTTTAGGTTGAAGTTTTGTGGGTGAAACCTTTAGGTTGAAGCTTTGTAGGTGAAAGTTTTAGGTTGAAGCTTTGTGGGTGAAGCCTTTAGGTTGAAGCTTTGAGGTGAAGCTTTTTGGTTTAAGCTTGTAAGTAAAACTTTTAGGTTAAAGCTTTGTAGGTGAAGTTTTTTTGTTGAAGCTTGTAGGTGAAGGTTAGGCACATAGCTTGAATAGTTGAAGCTAATCGTTGGGCACCACAAATTGATTTTGCTTCGCACTATCTTGATCAAGAGTGTCTGAAGCTTTTACATGTGGTTGCATCTTATGTGTTGAAGCTTTTGTTGGGTACCTATAAATTGATTTTTGCTTTACACTATCTTGATCAAAAGTATGTGAAGCTTTTACATGTTGTAGTTGCATTCTATGTGTGAAATTAATTAATGATTATTAATCAATTAATTAGTTGACTAATAATTAATTAATTAGTAATTAACAATTAATGATTAATTAAATAATAAGTAATTGATTAATTAATTTTTGGTTTTTTTTTTAATTATTTCTTTTATTTTGAATTTTCCTAGCTTGTGTGGAAGTCTCAAGGCTACACATGTGGGGCTTTCTCATGGGTTGAGTCTGAATTTCTTTGCCTATGTTGAACTATATAAGAAGAATGAGCTTCCACTTCTTACATTGATTTCATTTGCTCCTTTTGTGGTGATTTTTTTTAAGATAGAATGCTCTCTAGTTGAGAGGGATTTCGACAGTGCTTAATACTATCTTTAGGTTGGTTGTCTTCTTGATTAGATCAAATGCTTTCATTCTTGTTGAATTTTTGAGTTTCTATGCATTTTGGCTAAGAACATGATGAACTGGTTGTGCTTTCCTCATGCTCTAGTAACCTTTTAGGTTTCGATCCTTCACATAGTGATAGAGTTTGTTTTTGTTTGTTGTAGATGTTAGAGCCTGGAGGTCCTAGTGATGAGGGCTCCCCTAGCTCTAGCTCTAGGTTTGAGCCTGCAATATCTGAGTCTTTAGGGTCTTTGTTAGAGTCTTGTGAAGAAGAAACATTGGATGACCTTCACGATCATCGAACATGCATTCCATTTCTTTCTCTCAAAGCTTCCGATGAAGGGATAAGTGAGCAGTGTAGGTCTAGGGATGTAACCTTAGCCTTGTAGATATTGAAATTTCAGTGAAATAAATGTTGACCAATGTATTAAAACTACAACCTTTATTCATTTCACCTAGAACTTCCACTTACTTCTCCAACTTCACACACTTATTTCACCTACATCACACACTTACTTCACCTACCAACTCCATTTATTTCACCTACAAGATCCACTCACTTCACCAAAAAAATGGATGATGGTGATTCACTCTCAAAGCATATAAATAGGCTTCTCTATTAAGAGAAAAAAGAGGAATTTACATCACACAAAAACCTTGAAGCTTTGAAACTCTAAAGCTCTCAAGCAAATCCCGAAGGATCAGTAAAACCCACTTCGTTCTTCGTCAAATCCTCCTTCAAGATCAAGCCCCAATGACCCTTGAAGAAACTTCCCTCAACCTTTGAAATCAAGCCCTGACGGCCCTTGAAGAAAGTGTTCATCGTTCATCACCTGTTCATCCTAAGATCAAGCCCTAACGACCCTTTGGATTAACAAAAATCAACAAACCCATACACTCATTCTTCAAGATCAAGCCCAACGGCCCTTGAAGATCCATTCATCAACTATTCATCCCTAGATAGATCATCCACAAACCTACATCTTACGAAGATAGAATCAGATGATCAAATTACAAAGAGATTGTAACCCCAAAATCATTAATACAAAATATATTTTGTACACGTGTTCTTGTTTCAGGAATTTTCGTGTTTACAAGCCTATATTGGTTCTACCTTCTATGTGTCAGGGGGTGAGAAGGTTGCTCTTGATGCCATACCCATCTTTCACTCTGAGTTCATAGCGAACCACTTAGATATAAACTTGTTAGATAGTAAAGAGCAGCTTGAGACCTTAAGGCAGTCATGTAGCATACCCAGCAGTGTAGGAATGCATTTAGTGTGTGATGAAGAATTGTCCACTAAGCTGCCAAAGGGTTATGTCATGTTCTACACCCAGATACTAGTGACGTTAGGGGTGAAACTACCTTTGCACCCATGGTTGCAAAATGTGTTATCTCTCATTGGATATGCACCTGGACAACTCAATCCTGGTTTTTGGGATACCTTGGTCAAGTTTTATATTATTTGGATGGAGTGTGGATTAGGTGAGCCTTCCTTCCATCAGTGGCGCTGCTGCTATAAGATGCGTCTGGTGAAGTCAGGCATTGGCTATGCCGAGTGTGCATGTCGAAGCAAGAGAGAGTGTATTGTCCTTGGTAAAAAAAAGGCGTATTGCACTTGAAAAAACCTTTGGTGCTTTCTTTATAAGGATTGGGATCATGCTAAGGGTATCACACTTGAGCGACGTGTTCCTACCCACTTCCAGACCGTAGGTTGTAATGTATCCATTGTTCGTATGCTTTGCTATTTGTTGTGATTTCTACTTGCTTCTAACATTTTATTTCATGCAGTGACACAAGGCACCATCAAATTGTCTGGACAAGAGCTTGCCGATGTAGAGAAGGTGTTGAGGGTGCCAAAATAGAATAAACACTTGGGCAAGCTACGACCTTTGTTTTAAAAATACAGTTTCTAGCCCCTAATGTCTGAGTCCCAGAGACGAGCGAGTAAGCCATATCCTACGTTTGCCCTCTTTTTTTATATAAAGTTGTCTTTCTTTAAACAAAGTTGTATTCCTTACTTTGATTTTCCTTGTTTAGTGGAGAAGGTGAGCAAGAAAAGGGAAACTAGCACCAAGAAATGGAAGATTGGCACCAAGAAAGGGAAAGCAACCATGTTAGTTTCTGTAGACGACATTCTGTTTCATAAGGGAGCTCGCAAGCATAGGGTGAAGCCAATCTCTAGACTGAGAAGAGGTCCTCAAGATTGCTGCCTCCAAGAAGGCTGAAGCTAAGGCCATCAAATATGCTGCTTATATAGTTGGAAGGGAGGAAAAGCGATTGTTGCTTCCTCCTCCTAACATCGATTTCATCTTTCCTCCAGTCATGGAGCACGCTGGCTAAGATGGTAACCCTAGCTCCAACCGTAAGAGGAAGTATAAGGAAGAGGCTGGTAACATCCCCTGGAAAGACTTAAAGGTTGCCATGCAGCCAAATAACTTTAGGTACGTTAACAATTACCTTGCAGGGCGTCGAGCCACTGTTGACGAGTTCGATGGGCCACTAGCCGAGAACGAATCGGATCGTGACCGGATGATGAGGCTATCTGCTTATGTAAGTGTTACTTTGTCATTTCTTTAGTTTCTCTTCCTTTTCTTTCGTCTTCGTTTTCCTTTAGCACTAACACTCATCTTGTCATGTAAGTTATGATTGAGTACGATGATAGGCTACGAGAGGTCGAGCGATACAAGGCAAAGTTTTAAGAGAACAAGTAGCTTGTGGATGACGCCAGGAAGAAGAGCAATGCTTGGATTGAGGCTGTCTAGCTCAAGGACCAAACCTTAGAGAGGTTGAAGAGGCGAAATGATGAAAACTTGCGGCTCAAAAAGCAATTGGAGGCAACTATCCTTGAGGCTTCCAAGGTTAGAGAGAAGCAAGATAGTGCCTTGGCTAAGGTTTCTGAGCTGAAAAAGAGCCTTCCAACTGAAAGAGAAGCTACCGTGCGAGAGTTCTTACATTCTCAGGCTTTCCGCTATGTCATTAGGCCTCTACTACACCCGAGAGATTTGGCTTAAGAAAAGGAAACGAATGGCACTCCTTGAGCGATACGATTGCGGAGGCATTATCGACAAGTACCATGAGGAGATGAAGGAACATCGATGAAAGGGTGAACCCTTTCATCCTTGAACTCAATCCTAGTAGTGATAAGGAGTCTGAGGATGGCACCAGTGCTGATGAGCAGACTCAGCAGGGTGAAGATGGTCCTAGAGATGCCGAGGATGTCGGTGATGACGATGGAGGTAAGACATAACATGATATTATCGAGAGTTCGACCTTAGATGACGATGATTCGTAGTGCCTTCACTTCCTACATGTACTAGTTTGTTGTATGTATGCCATTTGTTAAGTTAGCTGCCTAAGGGCTTTTTGTTTATGGATGTTTACGACATTGCTCCATTTATTTTGATGTTAAGTGCCAAGTATTTGAACTATCATTTATGAATGCTTGGCTATGTTCGAATAGATTTCCTATTTGGATATAATCTATGACTTGGGTATAATTGAATGAATACAATTTGAAGATTTTTGTTTATTTGTGTAGTCTTGTTGACATATACTTAGGCTTTATTTCACGTTAAAAGCATTCATGTTAAAGCTTTAAACTCGAGTATGCGGTGTCATTTAAGTTGAGGTTTTGAGTTCGGATTTTATTAGGTCAGGGTGAGACCAAGTGTTTCAGTGTTAGGAATGTAAAAGAGTTAGGACCAAGTTGTTTGAATCACCTCTTTATTGAGTTCATGTTGGATGGCCTTTATTACAAAAGATGTTGAACGACTATAGCTCATCACTTGCATAATGTGAGTCTACTTGTAATAGTACTTCAGGTAATCAGCGTTCTATAGATGGCCAATGGTCTTGCCATCGGAACTTTTGAGTTTGTAGGAACCAGGACGACTGATGCCAACATCTTCAAATGGTTAATCCTAGTTTGGACTGAGTGTGCCTTCGCTTATAACTCTGTCACAGAGTAGTCTTTTCTTCAATACCTAGTCCATCACTTTGAAAGAGCGAGGTTTGACCCTAGAGTCATAGTAGTTGGAGATGCGCTGATTGTAATGAACCTGGTCCCTATGTTCCTCGACTAGATCCAAATTGAGGGTGAGTTATTTGTCATTTTCACTTTGCATGTAGTTCTTAACTTGGTATGTTGCTTGCTTAAGCTCAACTGGGACAACTGCCTCTATACCAAAGGCAAGTGAGAATGGAGTTTCTCATGTTGAAGTTCGATACAAAATTCGGTATGACCAAAAAACCTGGGGTACAAGTTCTGGCCAACAACCTTTAGCCTTGTCCAAGCTGGTATTCAAGGTGAGCTTGATTATCTTGTTGATGGCCTCAACTTGTCCATTACCTGAGGATGGGCTGGGGAGGCGAAACATAAGTTGATGTTGAACTTAGGGCAGAAAATCTTGAACTTCTTATTGTCAAACTATCACCTATTGTCAGTGACAATTGCATTAGGAATGTCAAATCTGCAAATGATGTTCTTCCATACAAAGTTTTCTATCTTTGCCTCAATAATGGTTGCTAAGGGTTCAACTTCAGCCCACTTTGTGAAGTAGTTAATTGTAATGATCGCATAACTAACCTTGCATTTCCCCATAAACATTGGGTTGATCAAATCACGTCTCCACTAGGCGAAGGGCCAATGGCTGATCATAGGAGTGAGAGGCTTACTAGGGGAGTGAAGAATAGTTACGTAGCGTTGACATTTGTCACATGAGTGAGATATTTTGATGGCGTCTTGGTGAAGTGTTGGCCAATAATATCCCTGGCGAAAAGCCTTGTGTGCTAGGGACCGAGATCCAGCATGATCTCTGCAGACTCTCTCATGTATCTCTCAAATGACAATTTTCCCCTTAGCAGGTGTAAGACACCTCAAGTATGGTAGGGTAAAACCTCGTTTGTAGAGTTAGTCATTGATGTTCAGGTAGCGGATGGACTTGTATCGAATTTTCTTAGCTTGGACTTTATCATCTGGGATGGTGCTATGAGCAAGGAATTTATAAATCGGGGTGATCCAACTATCCCTTTGTTGTAAGTTGCACACTTACATGGCCATGGTGCTTGGTGCTACCAAAAACTCGACATGAATGTTTCTTCTAATCTAGTCTTCCATTGCTGAGCAAGGAGAACCAAGGCGTTTGCATGACTGTTTACCGCTCGAATGACTTGAGTGATCTGGTAATGGAAGTGCTTGAGCAAGATATGCTATCATGGAGCTATCCTTATCATCAAAGTTGTTCGTGACTTAGGTTAACCACTAACTGAGAGTCGCTGAAGATATTAAGCTGTTTAACTCTAAGGTGTTTGGCCAAACGTAAGCCTGCCATAAGGGCTTTATACTAGGCCTCATTGTTTGATGCCTTGAATTTGAAGCGTAGACCATATTCCATTGCAACTTTTTCAGGCGTAGTAAGGACTAGCCCTGCTTCACAACCCTATTGGTTGGATGAGCCATCAATATATAGAGTCCATACTAGAAGGGTTGGTTTTACTTTCTGAGCTTTTGAGGGTAACGAAACGAATGCCTCAAGTGTAGGAGAAATGTTAATAGGATATGTAAATTCAGCGATGAAATCTGCAACTACTTAACCCTTCTCAGCTAGCATTGGTTGGTAAGAGATGTCAAACTCACCTATTGATATCGCCTACTTAATCATTCAGGAATCTGGAGTATCTGTCGAATGGGGTAATTGGTAAGCACGATGATGGAATGTGCTTGAAAGTAAGGGCGAAGTTTTTGAGCAGACATGATCAATGTTAGAGCCAATTTTTCAATGTTAGAGTATCGTGTCTCTTTATCTTGTAAGGCCTTATTAGCGTAGTAGATGGGTCGTTCAACATTACCATCCTTTCGAATGAGAGCATAACTGATTGTTAAAGCCGAAATAGATAAATAGATAATGAGAATGTCACTAGCTTCAAGTTTGGAGAGTATGGGGCTTTACTCATGTACTCCTTAAGGTTTTTGAATGCCTCAACATATTCGTCAGTCCATGTAATGTACTTCTTACTTCCCTTAAGTGCTTTGAAGAAAGGAGCACATCTATCTGTGGCCTTAGAGATAAACTTGGTCAAGGCTTCCACCTTGCTAGTAAGGCTCTGGATGTTTTTTAAAGTTACTGGCTCTTTCATGTCAAGGATTGTTTTGATTTTTTTGGGGTTAGCTTCGATACCTTGTAGGCTAATCATGAAGCCCAAGAATTTGCCAGAGCCCACGCCAGGCACATTTGTTAGGGTTCAACCTCATTTGGTACCTCCTCAAGATGAAGAAGGTTTTAGACAGTTTGGTGATGTGTTGGTCAGTATGCTTACTCTTGACTAACATATCATTAACATATAAATTCCATGCTCTTGCCAATTTGTTTGGCGAACATTGAGTTAATTAATCTTTGATAAGTTGCCCCTACGTTCTTGAGGCCAAAGGGCATGACTTTATAACAATATAGTCCTATGTTAGTAGTGAAGGTTATGTGCTTTTGGTATAGAGGATACATGAGGATTTGGTTGTACCCTGAGTAAACATCCATGAAGCTCAAGAGTTCATACCCTGTCGTTGAGTTTATAAGTCTATCGATGAGAGGGAAGAGAAAGCTATTCTTTGGGCATCCTTTGTTGAGGTCAGTGTAGTCGACACACATTCTCCACAAGATCTTTTTCAGCAGGAAGCTTTCCTTGGTTGGATTTTTCTTAACAATGACAACATTTGCTGTCTACATTGGATAGTTGACTTCATGGATGAAGCCTATTCGACTTCTGCTTTCATTGCCTCGTATCGTTCAATGTCATAAGATCTTCACTTTTATCTCACTAGCTTGGTCTTGGGATCAATGCTCCAGCGATGACAAATGATATCGGGTGAGATGCTTGACATGTCCTCATATGCGCCTAAAGATGACATTGTACGCCGTTAGGCAGTCGACCACTAGGAAGTTTGTGGTAATAGTAGTTATGTAAGGGCATGTACCAATGGTGAGTGGTAGGTGTATACTCCCCAAAGGTTGCACAATATCACCAGAAAAGCTTATCAGGGGAGTAATTAAGGGATCGAGCAAGTGTTTAACTACATTAAGTATGTTGAAAGCTTTGGCGAGCATGATATTGACCAAATCACCTATGTCTACAAGGATTCGTTGCACATCAAAGTTGGCTATGTGAGCCTCCACAATCAGTGGGTCGTTGTGAGGGTAGATGATGCCGCTTTCCTCCTCAAGGTAGAAATATATTGGATCCCAGTTAGGCTTTTGATACTTGCCTCCCCTAATGTCTTCCACATGAAACACTTGGTGGCTAGACCTCAAAGTTCGTTCACTATTTTTCATGGCCCTGTTGGAAGATTCAGAGAGGAGTAAGCCAACACTAATAGAATATATCATGTTCACCTGGCGTTGGTTACGATTATCCCTTGGAGGGTGAAGAAGAAATTGATCAATTTTCCCTTTGCGTGCTAAAGCTTCGATATGGTTATGGAGGGTGATACACTTCTCGCTGTCATGGTCATTATACTCGTGGTAGAAGCAAAACATGCCCGTGTTCTTCATGTACTTATAATCTGGATGTCTCGGCTTGGCTTCAAGTGAGCTATACTAGGGTAAATGGCTACGCATATGGCATTCAAAGGTGTGTATGTTTCATACTTTGGGGTAGGGCCTGTCTTAATCTGCGTTTGGCCTACTGCATTGACTGCTTGAAGGTGGGCGTTATCATAACGACACCCTTGGTTATCTTGATAGTGTCCCTTATTATTCTTATTAAAATAAGACTATTAAGGATGAAAATCCTTCCTCTTACCCTGAGATTGATATGTCTATTGTCTTGGCGAAGTGTTAGGTAAAGCAGGGGAAATGTAATAAGTGTTTGGAAGGTTGAGGTTTTCTCACTTGGTTGGATCTGGTTCCTACCTCCCACTTGTTGATAAGGGATAGCCATAAAGGGTTTCCCTTGATATGTCTTTACTTCGGCGGATGTATGGTTGTAAACCTGCGCTATCACCTCAAAGTAAGTTTTCTAAGTGTTGGCATTGATCATGTATTTGAATAAATAAGCACGAAAGCCTGTTGTAAAGGCTTTGAGGGCAGTCTTATCATCTGCCTTAGCGCAACGAGAATACTCATGGCTGAAGCGGCTGGCATACTCACGTAGTGACTTGTCTGGCTTTTGGCAAATAATGTACAAGTTGTCTTGCGGAGTGCAAGCAATAGGTCTAGAAAATGTGTTGAGAGACAAATAGTTTCCTCCACTCCTCAAAGGAATCTATTGTCTCAGGTGGAAAGCGGAAATACCAGTTCAAGGCTCCACCAAAGAGGGTGGAAGGGAAGAAAAGACATTGTTCTTCATCAGTATGCATCTAGTATGCCATGGTGGACTCAAAGAGGTCAAGGTGTTCAATTGAATCCTCCCTTCCGGTATATAGTTGTAGGCCTAGCTTTTGCTTTGTCTTTACTTAAAGAAGCGTGTCA